TGGTGCAAGTACTTGGAAAACACCGACTGAAGCTGGCATAGTGTTGACGTTAACTCTTTCAACACCAGTCAACCAGAAGCCTTTATAGCTGTGACACCGAGTTCCCAGAGACTCTTGGATGATAGATGAAACCAACATTTATCAAAGAAAATATCTGCTGGTAAAACATCTTAGCGACTTCATGTTATACACCATTTGAAAGGTCTAATCCTATTGTTTATAAATATGAAAGTTATGTTTATCACATTATCTAAATAATGCATTTACAACTTAATAAGGTTTGTTGTAAATCAAAAAAATGTAAGCTAACACGTTCATAACGTCCAGATTAAGGACCAAAGAAGCGAGAATTTGACGATTTTCGTCAAATATAAGATTTCATGAAATCCACTTACCTATTTCTTTTTTATTTTCATGACTTACGTAATTAGAAAATTATTTTAAAAAGAACTATAAATAGAATCTGTTTTTACCCATTTCCCGATAACAGCGGCTGTCTGCTCAGTAACGTGAAGAAATACCTCTGTTTTGGAAGCTTCGTATGAATAAAACATTTGTCGAAGACCGACATATGAAAAATCGCTGGAAAGCTTGATTTTTCATCTACACGCTCATAACATCGCCTGGAGTCTTTCCGTAGCTATAACATACGATTTCAGTGGATAAAAATTGGTTTCTGATGATGCTTTCTTGCCTATATCTGCTACAAGGTTTGTGATTGGTCAAACTTGAGCATGTGACCTCAGGCAGCCTTTGAAATCAAATTACAGCTAAGGTACCATCCTCGTGTATGATGAATTTCAGATTTTGGCGAAAGATTTTTGTTTAATCGTGTTATTCTGAACAGTTTAAGCAGGAAATCGCGATCTATATTAAATATAATGGAGCTTCGTGGATATAACGTGCTAGGTTACGAGCTGTGACAAAGATTTTTCATGCATATATTTTGGCATTAAACATTGTGTCCGAGCCAAGATGTAATAAATGAATAATATGACAGGTAGGTTCAAATAATGGTTTTGACGTGACTACAGCTTGGCCGGTCTACCAGCCTGCGGTATCTTGGGAGTCCAGGCTTCTTGGCCAGCCTACGGTATTGAAAGAGTTAATGCCTCCTTGCCTTAGCAATCACCTGAAAGGCTTGATCCTTGGTCATTACTGACAGGGACGGCTTTCTACTTACATCAGAATCAGGGTCTGCTGTTTAATCCCTTGGGAGTTCTTCGATAGATTAGGTTCACAGGACCCAATGCATGTAATGAGAGCTGACTAAAATGTGGATCAGTTGATTTACAGTGTATTAACCACTAGTTTTGTTTGGTCCTGCTTTGTATGCAATGTGCTGTGATATAATAGTTATTACAGAAGCTGCAATCACTCACTTGCTGTTGTGCAACAAGACCAGTTATTAATTTAGAATGTGGTGAGGAATTACTTCTTTTACAAACTCAACATATATTTGCAATATTAACATGGGCACAGGTGGCCCAGTTGTCAAAGGTGCATGGTGTCCCTTTGATTTGCCAGTCACCAATGATCATGGGTTTGAATCCCATTCTGATAATGTTAAATTTATAGGTTTGTCAGCAACTTGGCAGGACAGACATACTGGTGCTTGTGTATTTTATGAAAATGGTAAATATCGAAGACCTGTATCACTCAAGGCTCTCCTCCCACATCAAGCTGACATAGAGTGAGCTAACTCTAATCCAACAGCATTAATCATAACTCACTCACTCACTCATTATCACTGACCTTTGTACAATATGATCTGTTGTTATGTCTATTGGGTAATCTGGTCACTTGCTAAAGTCTGAGAGGGGGGCATGGGTGGCCCAGTCGTCTAAGGCGCTGAGATTCGCTGTGCAGAGTTGCGTCTTTTGGGCACACCAGAAACCTATGATTGTGGGTTCGAATCCCGGTTCGTCCTGATTATGTTTCTTGGTTTGTCAGCACCATACCTGTGCTCGTGGGTTTCATCGAAGTGGTAAACACCTGAGACCACAATCACTTCGGGCTTTCCTCCCACAATTAGCTGACACGCCGCGATATGACTGTAATACTGATAAAGCAGCGTTTAAGCCAACTCACTCACTCACTCACTAAAGTCTGAGAGATGATTACTGCCATACACAAGCATTAAATGCCATACAACTGGAAACCCTCTGAAGAAAAATGGTAATGCTGTTGCAACCATGATGGATAAAACTGTTGAACTGAAGCTATTTCAGTTACTTGTGGACAATTTTTGTGCGAGTAACAGTCATACACTGTCATATTTATAGCAATACAACAGACTGCTGGAGCTGTTATAAACCTGCACTATCCCGGAGGGCTGTTGGCAAGCTGTAATCTTGGACGATTCACACTTTTTCAGCCATTAAGTCTTGCTTCTTTGACCCTGTGACTGTCGTGATCGTCGATCACTGACATGTGTTTATTGAAAGCTATTAATTTATGAAATACAGCTTGAGTTTAGGCGTTCATGACACAAAAAGGTTGATGAATGATGTTTTTGAGATGAGGTTAACACAGAACAGGATGGGGTAGGCTACAGCAGGTTTGTGGAGGATGCTTGTCAGTAATGCACCAGGAATCTAGTCTGTAAATGTGAACATCTTGAGCATCTTGTGTCACTAACTGTGGGATCTAAAGTATAAAAGTTATGACAGGATTTGTGTGATGTAGTATCACTGAGATGACCAGGATCAAGCACCTGTTCCTGGAACACAATCAAGTACACATACATAGATTAGGTGCAGTCGGGTAGCCAAGTGGTTTTAGCGTTAGCTCATCACGCTGAAGACTCGGGTTTCATTCCTGACATGGGTACAATGTGCACAGCCCATTTCCGGTGTCCCCCGCTTTGATATTGCTGTAATATTGCTAAAAGTGGTATAAAACCAAACTCACTCACTCACAAATAGATTCACCCAGATAATGATCCTTCAGTCGTCTAAAGTGTGTCCATTGTGCCTGCCAGAAATTGTGGGTTCAAATCCTGGTCGCCCCAATTATGTTTCTAGGTTTGTCAGCACCATACCCTTGCTCGTGGGTTTTACAAAAGTGCTAAATGTCTCAGATCACCATTAATTGGGGTTTCCTTCAACAGAGTAGCGTTGAAAAGAGGCATATTTCAAACAAAGTCTGTCTCACTCACTCACTCACTCATAGGGCTTCCACGAGTCCAAATTTTTGGACTCGAGTACCCGAGGGGTGAAACTCGACTCATACTCGAGTACCCGAAAATAGGACGTCCTTTAAGAATATTGGTTCATTAGATCAAAATTGCCATCTAAAAGTATTAAAACATGTTATAGGTATAATTGAACTACACTGAAATGTAAATAGAGAGCGTCCACGGAACTTGTTTATCTGTGAAAGTGTATGGAAGTGTTCAGTGTTAATGTTTGCTTGTAACTGCAGTAATCTTAGTCACGACCTCCAAAAACATTACGCCACGTCTACAAAAACTACAATACATATTGAACACAAACGAAGTTGTTTTTTTTCTGACGATCAGCGTTTCATTCGACACCTGCCAACAAGCACAAACAATAATAATAAATCGATAATGTGCATCACGTGACATACACGTATACACAGCTGCTGGGCTGCAAGACTAAGGCCGCTAAATATTGAAATGTAGTACTTTAAGTTCATTCATTCATGAGTTGGTCACGTTTTCAAACTGTACCAAACTGTCGACCTGTCGCTTGATTTGTAAGCACTGAAATAACATATATATATCAGCTAATCAGTTGTTAATCTGTGTAAGAGAATACACTTGGCATTTGATGTCAGAGCAAAGAAGCAATAATCGCCTTGATACATTCAATTTCGGGAAGGAAAAACAATAATTACATCTATTTTATGTGACATTCTCAATTGTACTAATGTACATCTACTTTCTACAAAGAATACATTATTCAAACAATATTTTTTGAAGCTTTAATCAATATATTGATGAACAATTGAACATTGAAACAGAGTGATCTCCCCTTATCGAGTACTCGAGTCCTTGATAACGGACTCGAGTCCCAGTAAAACCGACCCGTACTCGAGTACTCGTTAAAGCCCTACTCACTCACTCACTCACTCACTCACTCACTCACTCACTCACTCACTGTCATATATCGTGAATTTTCATGTGTCACAAAACTCATTTTAATTTGATGAAAGTTTGGTCAAGATTTGGTTAGATAATCGATCAATTTCAGTTTCTGTATTTCATATGAGTGTCACATTGTGAACCGAAACAAATGTGTTTCATTGGAAAATTAATAAAAGATTCAATTTCTGAAACTGAATATATAGTTTTTTTCAAGGTGCTCCCCATATATGACATTTCCTCTAACAAGCTAACACATGTGTTGTATCTAAAATACTGTTCAAAGCCAGTGTTGAAACGCACTCAACCACTCTTGGACTGGATGTAGGGCGGCTCAGAGTGACTGCATCCATTGTCAGGTTTCTTGCTGCTCAAAAGATTGTTTTGACAGCTGAAGTCAATACCACATCTTGGTTTTCAATAATTTCTCATATATATTTCTGAACAGTCCCCTGAAAATGTATAACAGAATAACAGAATGACAGACATTTTGAATGAATGATTCTTGTATCATTTGTGTGGGAATCTGATTGGGTTATATGCCTTGTTTGGAGGAATATATTTACATGTGATTATCTGATGTATTTCATACAAGTGAAGATCTGGGTTAGAATAGGTCTTCAGCAGCTCATGCTTGCCGTAAAAGGCGACTATGCTTGTCGTAAGAGGCAACTAACAGGATCGGGTGGTCAGGCTCGATGACTTGGTTGATGTATGTCATCGTATCCCAGTTGTGTCGATCGATGCTGATGTCAATCACTGGATTGTATGGCCCAGACTCGATTATTTACAGACCAATGTCATGTAGCTGGAATATTGCTGAGTGAGTTGATAAACAACAAACAAACAAACTGATGTATTTCAAGACAATTTGCTCTCTGTTCATTTCAGTCTCATTGTCCTGGGTGGGATATTTCTGAGATGGCTTGAGTCTGGTGAGTAAATCACTTTCATTATTCCACAAACTTGATCACTATGTTTATGGATTATCTAATTTTCATAATACCATCATGAATAATGTATTAGATTTTCATCCATTTTGAAAGGGAAGATGTGGATATTATTTTTCACCAAGTTTTCCTTGAAATTACTGAATAACAAATTTCAATGAATTTGAGTTCAAGTTCAAGAGGTTTTATTGTACTTAAGGCCTCCGGCCCATATACAAAACAAGAGTACAAAGAGATGATATCTGTGAGTACAAATGCTGCATACAATACATATGTGGGGACAATGTTACAAAGTGAATGTACACAATTATTTTACGAAGTAACTTCACGATACTATAAGATTCTTGCGTCGAGAAAGTGCATGATGAACAAAAAGTGCTAACCTCAGAATTGTTTTTCTATCATTAGAATTCAACAGAGATTTACATGAATACAAATTTGATAAATGCAGGTATTTCTGTGGAATATATGCTTCCCTTAAATCAGTATAAACAGTACAAACAAGCAGTATATGAAGTTCATCCTCTATACAAGTTTGACAGAAAGGACACAATCTCATTGGCTTCGGTATAGAACGATGTCGTCCAATGTTAACCATTATTTAAGACAATCCGAGACCGAATCTTGAATATGTTGTGTGCAGAGATTTGTATGTTATTACATTTAAATACAATTCAGGTTCAATCAATGATTTAAAAGATCTATACATTGACAGGGTAATGGGATAAAATCAAATGATTAATTCATTTTGTCTTAGTAGTGTCTTATATTACTAGTTCTTTTTCTTTAGTTTCTTTATTTCGTACATGTTTAGGCCAACAGCCCATGGTACATATATTGGTCCACAGTATTAATTATTGACTCATGGTAGATAAAGGCATAATACAAATACATTGCGGTATTTCGAATTGTAGTTTGGTTACAGTCAGACATTAACATATTAAATTTATCCAGGGTAGGATGGACATAAAACTTTTCATGGATATATTGCTGTCTTAAATTACCATAGGCTTTGCAAATTAACAAAAAGTGGTATTCATTTTCCACATAACCAGTATTACATTATTTACAAATCCTCAAGGTACATTGTTTTATCTTCCCGTTTCAATTTATAAGGAATGCGAACTGCAACGAAAACGAGCTATTGCCAATCTAAATTTACCAATAGTTACAGCAGATATATATGGTTCAACACAAAATGACATTTTAAATAATGAATAATGATACATTTTAGAGCTTCCTAAAATTGCTAGTTATTGACCAGTCTCGGGGTGTATATGGTGTGATGTACCATGTGAGGTTATGTGCCCCAGGCATATAGGTTGGAACTTGAGGGGTACATAGGCTCACAAAGGGTATGCCACACCATATGCCCAGAGAACCTGTTGACAATGAATTTATTTTTCCAACATTATTTTTACCTGTTTATCTAAAATGTCTACATCAGCAAACTGTTGATCATGAACATCATGACAGCTAACAAGTGATGTGAACACTTGGTTGTCTTCAGATTTGGAACAGGGTCTCTCAATGGCCTGTGTATGTTTTACAATGAGTTCGAAGACTTTTTCTGTCTCAGATATTTTTAGGTATTAAACCATGGCAATCTAGTTTATGAGAACAGATGAGTATTTCTTGTATGGTAAATTGAACCCAATAATGGAGGAATTGGTCATCTCATTGCATTATGTGCATATGGTGGCACATCACAAATCAGGTGAAGCTGAACATTGGTGGTTAAACATGAGTTTCTAGGGCTTTGGTTCTGCCCAACACTGCATCATATATTTTTTAATTATTAAACTACACATTTATATAAGGGCCCGAGTGGCCCAGTGGTCTAAGGCGCCAGGATATGCTGTGCAGAGTTGCATCCCTTGGGCAAGCCAGAAACCTATGATTGTGGGTTTGAATCCCTGTTCGCCCCGATAATGTTTGTAGGTTTGTCAGAACCATACCTGTGCTCATGGGTTTCACTGAAGTGGTAACCGTCCAAGACCTGAATCACTTCGGGCTTTCCTCCTACATTAAGCTTACATGCCGGGATATAACTGGTATACTGTTAAATGCGGTGTTCAACCCAACTCACTCACACATTTATATACTGCAGGTATCCAGGTACTAGTATCTGCTCAAATGTGATTTTATTTGTTCCCCGACCAGTGGATCCATTTGCATTCCAGTTATCATTCTCAACTCCCTGGGGAGTATACAACCCAAGCTGCTGAGAATGTTAGAAGGTTTTTACATCCACCTCACATATTGGGTACCCATTCCCTGCAGGGTGAACAGAGGCACATTTGAACTAAGTCACTTGCCCAGGGTGACACCACACATGTTTTCACTTGTGTTTTGGGTGTATGTTCGTATTCGTGTTTCCACCATCTGGTCATCTACCATCGGACGAGTGGGTTCTTTTGTGTGCACAGGGTGAATGTTCTGTACACTATGGGTAGTGACAACACTGTTAAGACCTGTAAACATTGTTTGTCCCAAGGCTGAATAACAACCCGGTCACTAGCGGGATACGATCTCAGCACGTGGCGCTTGCTAGCATTTGGCTTTTGACCGCTTGCCCACTCCACCCCTATATACGGCATATCTGGTATTTCCTTAGATGAGTGGCTTTCTTTGAAATATGCCTCTGTTCCTTTCACAGAGAATTGGACTGCTATCCTCACAGGCAGCATGGGTTGTATACTCCCATAGGGAGCTGAGAATGAAAATTGAGTGCACATTGTTTCATTGACTGGAGTAATAATAATATTGTGCCATGAGCATGGAATTAGGCTCATTGTGAGTGGACTTTTTATTATTATTATTGTTATTGTTGTTACTGTCAGAGTTATTGCATTTAAAGGTTTGTTTCCTAAAAACCTATTGAAATATGAGTTTAAAAAACAAACAAACACATAATTATCATTTATGAATATTTTACTTTTGCAAAATGCAGTGCAGGATGAAGAAGACTGGTAGAACATCTGTTCTATTTGAAACATCATGTTCAGTAACTCAATCAGTGTTTATTAAATCCATGTCCTTGAATCATTGGCCTCCACCAAATCCCATAATTCACTTCTCGGTAGTAATCTTCTTTTCAATACTCCAGGGAATTATCCCATTTCAAGACCATGTAACCACAACCATTTTCATAATCTCCCTTTCCACTACACCTTACGATTTCCTATCAACTCATAAAATATTGACTGCCTTGATGAACTGATCGGTAACAGGTAGGCTTATGCTCAGGAAATTATCACCCTCTATGAGATTGACAAACAGAAGCATGATCACGTGATATTCCGCTAATAATCTGCGTTGTGACCATCCTGATGATCCTCGTATTGATATGTACCATTCAGCTGCCAATAATACCCCTGCTTGTAGTGTGAATGATGTTCAGTACATTGATATCAGATGATGTGAAATATTGATCAGAAATTGTGGTTGGCTTTGTATTATGGGTGAGTGAGTGAGTTTACATTAAATCTACTGGTCAGTATTTCAGTTATATCAGAGCATGTACTTGACGTGGAAAAAAGCAGCGATGCAAGTCTTAAAAAATCAATACCAAACCCACCTGTTCATAAAATTGACATGTCTGACAGTGCCGAGGTCTGATTCTACTCAGGGAGTCATCATTATGAAAATGTGGGAAAATATTTTTTAAAGTACATTTTATCATCATCCTCAAAGAGACTATATATAATGTTGATATGTATGTTGTAATACATATGAGTTGAGTATTCATTTGGATACTAAGTTTAATAGAACTTTGAAAAGTTTTGACTTCAATCACAGTGGGAACTTGTTGTGTGAGGAAAACCTTATGTGACCTCATACTTGATTGACGATTGTACAAGATAGACATCATACTTGATTCAGAATTGTACCGGACAGACATTATACTTAATTCAGTCTTGTACTGGACGTACATCATACTTGATACTGACATGTACTAGACGTACATAATATTTGATTCAGATCTGTACTATGACCAGATCCTGGCAGCAACAGACAGTTGAGTGCAGTTTTTATTGAAACAAACAACAAAAAGAAAACTTCAACATAAATAAATTGCCTCGAAGAGTCACCTGGTATCTCATGAGTATCTCCCTACGGGTCTTGTTGTGAGAGGTAAAATGATCAGTATACCAGACATTATTCATAGACGAAGTCTGAGTCCAAATTTATGTGTTTCTCATCTTGTGTAAATTTCACTTGAAAATGTGTAAAATGGGAGAGAGAAAAATCAACTGGATAAATATTTCTGTGATTGAGTCATATAATCCCGATTACTTGTAATAGCCTATCAGCAAAAATTCATTTGATATCGGTTCAATTCACAATCAGGATCCTTTGTGTTTAAAATCAAGAATAGAAGCAATCCATTCTTAGACAGTTCCACAAAAAAATCATTTGGACTTGGCATTCATCTCTAAAAAGCAATTTATATACAGGAGTAAGGGACCATCTTCTTTGAAAATGACACAAGCTCTGAAAGAAATTTACTGAACATGTATTCTGTTACAGAATTTGCATTTCTTTTGAGTTGAAGCAGTATTTTAAGGTAAAGCAATTGTATTCACACGACAGTTTACATGAGATGATGGAATTTCCATAAATTTATGGTGCCAAGGGTGAGAATATTTGGTCTAAAATGGTATAAGAAGATGTTCACCAACGATTACGAATGGATATGAATCATTCAGTCTTGTAAGAAACTAAAGGTTCAGTGTGAACTTGAGTGTGATCTGCTAGATTCTTGGCCAAGACTGTTAATCAGCAATTCAGATGTAGTGTATGGGAATATTAGTGTCATAAAAACTGATTTGGGTGTTACTGGAAAGAGACCTCAATATGTTCACAGTGATAAAAAAAACTCCCTTGAGCATCAAAGCCAAGGATTATCAGGAATTTGTTAAGTAAATGATGTAGAAGGCTATTTTGGGTGTTACTTCTTTTATTGTTATAAAAGATATAGT